CTTACATTTAAGCACAATTCTGGACAATCAAATTCTGACCATGTGGTAAAACATGTGATGATCCAATCACCTTTCCAAGACCTTCAACAGTTTGGGGTCATCAGAAGACGGATAATCTGCTCAGACTGCTGAGACGTGGGGGGCAGAGACTCAGACACAGATACTGTTGAACAGAAGGCGAGAGATGATGATAGGCTGGGCAAAAAAAATAAATAAATAAATAATGAAAAAGGCAGATTTATGCAGAAGCCCGGTATGAAAACCTCTGTTAGACTCTAGTTTTTTTTTTTTTTTATGATTGACAGATGCACCTGTGCAGAGACCCATAACTGAAGAGCAGCACATGTGCCCCCTAGTGGCCATTTAATGAATCAGCTGCTTCCCCCCTCACTGATCTGCATGGGAATAAAATGTTATTTCAGACTTTTCCACCTGGATCTGTTGCTCCATCGTTTAATCAATCACCTATTCTGTGAGTTTTGCTCCACACTGGGTTTTATATCTGCTAAGAAACACACATATTAAAGGTTTTTTTAATCTTTTTTTTTGCCTTAGGTTATTTATGTTGTTCTGCCTCCTTCTGACGGATATTTTCAGGGAGTTTGCCTAGAAAAAGATGAATTTAATCAATAAGGACTGTTCTATTGTTACAGAATTTAATAAAACTTTCAGTAAATATCTGGTTTCTTGTGTGTGTATGATTTTTAAAGATGTTGGGATTACATTCCTGATGGGATAAACTCTCTACATCACCTATAAATCTTTTGGATCGTCATAAACAGATTCTATAATGTGGAAAAAAATAAATCCCATTTTCCCCGAAACTCTGTCCTGATTTATAAAAACAAATTCATCCTAAAAAACTAAAATCTTTTTTTTATTTTTATTTTTTTACAGATTAGTTAGAGAAACTGTTCTGGTCTGTTCTACACCATAGATGGTAAAGTTTATGATTTATTAATCAGAATTAATTAGCATGAACTAAAACTTAAATATGTTTTTACTGATTAAATGCATGATGACTAATAAGTTACCCTAAGGAGCCATCTTGGATCATAAACTGAAGGGACTCTAAAGATAAAGAAAAATAAACACATTTATGAGCAACACTGACTTCCATTTGCAGACAGGCAGCCTGCGGGTATCAATACCCACCAAGTGCTTAATATTGATCTGAAGGATATAATCTAATTTCCATGCATGGAGGGAGGAAAGTGTTTGTTAAAGACAATTTCTCTTTAAAGAAAATCAGAACCAAATGTTCTTTACATTCTGAAAAGTAAAGGAATACATTTCCAAATTGTGGATCAAGTTTTCCCTTTGTATGACTTCCTGCATGTATGACTTCATGCTTTATTTATATTGTATAACTTCCAGTGTCTTAAATTTCGGACATGGAAGAAATAGAATTTGTTTTTAAATGTAGTTTTGAAGGATTTTTAAATCAGGATTGTCAATTAGTCAGCTATACGTTTTAAGGCATAAATGTTTGCCATCTAACAGTGAATTAAGAATCAAAATACCATAATAATTATTTTGTCATTCAGGATTATTTTATTAATCATGCATATTTTTAAAGATAATTTTTCTAGTTATTCTAAAAAAGCATTTAAATTGTTGTAACCAAACAAAAAAGGCCAAACCATTAACAGAAAGTTCTCTCATTATTTCTTCTTTTTATTCATACTATGTTGTTTTGTTAATGTTGTTTTCTTTCACTGTTTAGTTAAATTGTTTTTGTGCCTTTTGATCCTTTTTGTAAATCTGTCATAACAGATTTTTTGAAAATCTGATTTCTTAGAAAGATTTCAGATTTTCAAATAAAATGTTCTTCCTGTTTGACAACCTGCATAGCAACCGCCCTTATGGAGCAGCGGGCCCTCAGCTTTCAGCCAATCACAGCGGTTTGTTCCCGTTACGTGGCAGTGTTGTTTGTGTTACGTCACTACAGGTCAGAAAAAGATCTACTAATAGCTAGGAGGTATCACTCCTCTGTATTTTAATACTGCTGTCATGCTGAGTGGCTGGACTCCAAAGGTTTCTACTGTTGCTGGTTTCTCCCATGGCTCATGGCGGCTCTCAGCTTCTCTCCATCATGATAAAAACAGTTAAGAAGGAGATTGATTAAATAAAGTGTCTCTACTCTCCTGCTTACATTCTTTTACCTTTTGAACTATTTCTTTCTCTCGTTTATTGATTTCTTGGACAAAAGAGGCGTCCAAAGGTCTTTTCATCACTTTTCTTAATATAACTACTCTCACCCTCCTGCTGCCATAGCTACATAAGCTCTGCACTGGTGGCATCAAAATCCTGTTTCCCTCCCAGGAGGGGAAGGTCCTGCAGGTGGACCTGGTTGGATGGCTTTAAGGTTCTTCAGTACAGCTAAACCTCGATGTCTGGTGTTCTTAAGGGTCCAGAGATCTGTTATTTCTGCCGTGTCTGAAGGTGGCTTCAGATTCTCTTTGGAGGTTAAAGTAGTGTGTTATCAACAAACATCCCATATTTGCACCATATATATTTGTTTGGAAATGCTCTGAAGTTTCATATCAACGTGTTTTTGCACCATTTTTTTCTCCCACACTGTTTACGTTTGATCACTGCTGCACTTTATGGAATGGAAATGTTCATTTCACTGCTAAGCTGCAGCTCACTGTCTGTGAGCTGTGCAAATCAAAATTTCACTCCGTGTTTACAAAACGATATTAAAAGTAGTCTAAGTCTAAACACATTTAACAAGATTTTGGATTAGTGGTCTTCATTCAAGCAGCATTATTAACCCTTGCAGAGGGAGATCAGATGCAGTGGTTGCCCCAGTTCTGTCTATTCTGGTAAGACTAAGGATTAGTCTTAATATCTGGAACCAAAAGAAAACCAGGGAGGGTTTCACAGCAGTGGTGGAAAGTAACAAAGTACATTTACTTGATTACTGTACTTAAGTACTTTTTTTGTTTTATCTTCATTTAAAAATTATTGAGTAATTTTTTGGGGTTGTATTTATAACTTTCACTCCACTGCATTTCGAGGAAGCTGCTAGTTAAATGTTCCTTTTGGCTCGGCTTAGTTTAGTAATCCGATGTTGCTGCTTTTCTCTCTTGAAATGCGATTCAACATTGCAGATAGCAGATCAGCCCTTAGGAATGAATCTGAACGCCACTGTTTTAGAGATTTCCATGATGTTCCACAAATATGATAAACTCAGAGCAGATATTATTTGTAGTTTATTAATTTTATAAAGGTGTGAAATGTTGCCAGGTTGTTCAATAGGATGAGTTGTAGTTTCTTTGCAATAAATCCAACCTTAAACTTCTATTCCATAGTGAAAATGTGAGGGAAATTAAGACACCCCCTGTTTTTGTTTTTTTTCAAAATAAGAAAAGGCAATAAAAATAACTGTTTTTTTTTTTTTTTTCAGGCATTTTTAAGTTAAGCTGAAGTTCTTTAGAGGTGTAGAATCTGAAGCAGGTGGTTTTACACCAGGTGGTTTGTGAAAGTTACACAGTTCTTTAAATTTACCCTGAATATTATAGAAATTTTCTGATATTAGAACATTAAATTTGTACTTTTGAGAACTTAAGTATTTCAAAAGTGAGTAGATGTTTGAGTAACTTTTACTTGTAGTTGGATAAGATTTGACAATGAGTATAAATATTTTTACTTAAGTACTTGTATTGAGTTCTTCTTCCGCCATTGTTGCACACACAGCTAAATCAAAATAAACGAAACATAATTCCAAAACCGAAAGGAATGTTGAAATGACCTTGAACTAAAGGAAGTCTATTTTCTTACTAAAACATTTAATAGTGAAACAGCTTCTGAAGTAAAAGTGAGATAAGACTCACATCTAGCCTTGTGAAGCAAGTGTTCTGTTTGAGTGAATACTTTTGAACAATGAAGGACACCAAACAAGCTCACATTAAGGTCATTAATTAGAGGCCTAAAAGGAATAAGAGTGTAGAATACTTTTTTTCCATCACAACAGTTTGAGGGAATGGATTTTCAGGGTGTCTGTTTCATCCTTGGTTGTTCTTTTCTAACATTTTTTCTGTATCTTGTTGTCATAAAATTCTATTAATAATGACTTGCTTAATTTTAAACATATTCTAACAGAGCACCTGCCTGACAAGGCTGAATGCAGGTCTTACCTTATTGGCACCTCAGAAGCCGTTTTCCAGTTAGAAATGTTTTAGTAAGATGCTAAGATCCTTTAGAGCCAAAATTACTTAAACAAATATAAATATATATAACTATGTGAGAAACTTTCTATTCAGTCTGTGTGACCAGAACAAGAACATTGGCAGGAATGTATCTGTTCTCCTTTGCAAAGGTGAAATAAAACGCTGCCTTGAATGAAGATCCCTGTTCTCAATTTATTGATAATATAAGACGTAGATTGTTTTTCCCAGATAAAAATCTGATTATCCTGCAGAATATTCCAGAAAGAATAAAACTTGGAACAAAAACTGAAGATACACAATTTTATAAAAAGAACCTTATACATGGAGACTAAATAAAAACGGAGACACCTGAACTCAGCTCCACTCCAGGAGAATTATCTGTCAGCTGTATTTCAGGGAGTGATACCTCCTGTCAGTTGTTATGATCTCTGCAGCCGTGCCTCTGTTGACAGATCCGTCCGGATTCTCTGCCTGGAAACATCAGAAACTAATCGGAACCGCCGTCAGACGCAGACGGACGGAGCTCCAGGTGGGAAGAAATGACTTTCTGTTCCAGATCAGCTCACAGCTCCGCTGATCCTGTCTGTCCTCCAGCCTGCAATGGTTCAGATCAGATCAGATCAGATCAGACTGCTGCAAACATGGCAGCTTTCTACAGGGTGGGGGGCAGTAGTTCTGCTGGATGCAGAAACTCTTCAATCAGATGTCTAGACTCATCAGCATTTCACAGCTGCTAACCAGGAGGTTCATTTAACTGCTTCAGAATGAATTAGCTCTATAGAAACATTCCCATGATCATGGCTGCAAAGTAGTTTGGTTTTAGATAAGTTATAAAGTTTCAGTTTGATTGGCAGCTCCACATCAGCCAATCTTTATCTGTTTTGTTTTTATTTCAATTGAACAAATTAAGGCAGAGATTTACTGAAACATGCATAAACATTAATGAATTGCAGAGGGAATACTAAGCCTATTTTTTCTCTCAAAGTCAGAGACGTCTATAGTATTCACATTATTTTCTTTAAGTAGAAGTACAAATTCCTGTGTAAAAAGACTGCTGAGAGTAAAAGTAACGATTTAACTATTTTACAAGAATTAAAGCGAGAAAGTGGGGAGTGTTGGACTACTGGGTTCGATCCCCACAGCCTGAATGGAACAGCCTTAACACACTGCTCCCCGGGTGCTACACAATGGCTGCCCTCTGCTCCCCAGGGGGATGGGTTCAATGCAGAGTTACATTTCTCCAATATGAGATCAATAAAGATCAATTTTTATTATTAAGTCCAGGTTCTTCATGACATTTAAGTATAACACATACAATTATGTTGTTTTTTTTTTTTGCCTTAAATAAAAAAAAAAAAAAACTTAAAAATTATTGTTATGACAATAACACAATAGCAACATTTCTATGCACAAAAACATGTTTGTTTTCCCAGTTTGTTTATTGTGGATTAGAATTCAAATTTATTGTCATTACACTCTCACAACAAAGCAACTAAATGAACTCTCTGCATTTAACCCATCCCCTTGATGCGCAGTGTGGGATTAAGGGTCTTGCTCAGGGACCCAGAGTGTCAGTCCGTGGGAGTGGGTCTCGAACTCAGAATCTCAGGATTCCAAGCACAATGCCCTAACCACTACACCGCCTCTTCCCCCACTGTGTTGATAGAGAAAAGGTAAAATAGTACTTACTCAGTCCATTTTCTATATAATTTAAAATCTTAATTAAATAAAAGTTCTGCATAAGCAGTGAAATACTTTTAGCTCTTTGATATACATATGAACTCATTCCCCATTTAGGCAGATGGTCATAATTTTCTCTCTATTCTGTTGTTGCTGTTCATCATGGTGTTATCAAGATTTATACTGTAGTAATGGAGACAGTTTGAGAAAGTACTGATATTTGTATTGAAATATAGTAAGTTAAAGTAACACATTCTAAGAAAAAAAAACTAAAAAACTAAATACAGACAGTGAAAGACTACTTAAGCAAAGTAATGAAGTATTTAAACTTAGATACTTAACATTTCTGCTTAAAGTCCTTATTTAGACTCTACCCAGTTTCTTCTTTAGCTCCTATGAAACGGCTCCTAGGGTTCCTCACATGTGGCTGAATGGAATGTTATCAGAGCTTGTTTAGATCAGGAACTTGTGTTAGTACTGACATGGCATTAGATGCATGGTGGTAGTGTATCATGATGTGGGCCCAAACCATGACTGTTTAACATTCTCACGGCTCATTGAGAGTTTGGAACAGGACCGGCCCTCTGCCTGATATACAACAGCAGCACTGCAGGGTTAGAGCATGGAGGAGTTATGGTGGAATCATCTGCTGGTGAAGATTGACAGTCATCCAGGTCATAGTCATTCCAAAAAAGTTATAAAACAATCCACTGAACTTTGTTTGAAGTTTGAAGATGTTTCTCTTCCCATCCAAGAAGTTTTTTTCATTCAAAATCTCAGAAATAGTGTTGAGTTTAAGGTTTTATAGAGTAGCCCAACAATGCCTTGCTTTAGTTTGGAAAACATACAAACTGAACCCATTTACAGGGGAACAAAAGACCTCACCTATTCAGCCAGGCCAACAATTCCCTTTAATGACTCACATTTCAGAGACATAGACAGGTATGGGGCATTGCAGGCTAACATAGAAGCCAAACGACACCCATTCCAAATGAGGTGGACCTGTTCGTCCTTTTCAGTTTGGATCTTTTCTAAACAAAAGCAAGGCTTTGTTGGGCTACTGTATAAAACCTCAAACTCAACGCTATTTCTGACATTTTGAATTGAAAAAGCTTCGTGGATGGGAAGCGAAACATCTTCAAACTTGGAAACAAAGACCAGTGGATTGTTTTTTTTTTTTTTTTACTTTTTTGGAATCTGCTGACATGCCACTGGTTTTAGTAAGTATCATGGTGGAGGTCTCTTGGTTCAAGCCAACCTTCTTTAAACCTGACATCCAACCAGAGAACAGCTCTGATGTTCATCCCTTCCTGACCATGGTGGATCCACCAGCTGATGGTTGCTTCCAGCAGGATGGGCCTCCAAGTCACAAAGCTCAGATCATCACCTGAACATATCAATGAGTTCAAAGGACTCCAGGTCATTTACAGCCAGAAGATCTTAGTCCAGCTGGGAACCTTTGGGGTGTGGTGGAATAGAAAGTTCTCAACATGGATGGGTTAGCCCATAAATCTGCAGCACTGGATCTCTGAGGATGTTTGTAGATATACCCGGTGTAATTATAACCATTATAGGACTAAGGATGCTCACTAAGGTAACCAAGTGCAGTGTGAAGACGCAGAAGAGGAGGATTTTAGTAATATGAACGAAAAAAATGCACTGAATGGAGCCGGGTATCACCGTTTTCACGCCAAAGGAAGTTTAAGAACTTCTTCTGTTCCAGCAATCTCCTAAAAGGTCATGGAAAATAAAGCAGGTTCTTTATCTGGCATCAAGAAAGCTCAAAAGGAAGTTTTAGGAATATCAAAACAGGCCTCAGAAAGATTTTTATCATATCAGCACAATCAGGAATTTAACCAGCAACCAAATAGGTTCTGTCTCAAAACCACTGATCATACCAAAATGATGTCCATCTGTGTTTTCTGTAGGAAATTTGCCGGGTTAAACAGAATTGTCAGGTCCAGTTTATCCAGAACCATCCAGAGATGAAATCTATGTGGGCTGGCAGGTGGTGTGGGCGTGTCTCTCTGGATCCCTGAGCTCTGATTGGTTGGAAACCTGGAAGATTCTGAATATCTTAACAGATCAGAACATTCAGTCTAAGAGAATATTTAGAAGGAAAAAAAAAATCTAATTTAAACTTTGTAGAAAAACTAAAAAACACAAACTTTCTACGGAACTCCAAACAGAACCAGGTTCATCCTGAGGTTTTTAAACTTTTAAATTATGGAACTGAAGATGGAGACAGATTAATCCGATTAAGCAGAGAGATAAAATTGGTTTGTTTTACTCTGTCTCCTGTAGGAATACCCGTTCCCTGCTGATGAAGTGATCCTAAAGCATTTCAAGCTGACCTAAACCGACTCGGACTTTAATAGAACCAGTAATGCAGATACTCTGTAATTAACCTGCTGCTTGGAGATTATTTATCTTAATTATTTCCTGCAGGGTGAACTCAGCTCCTGCCAAAAGTGTTTCATTATCAGAGGAGAGGAACTGAAATTAGCTCGCGGGTTCATTTATGGGACAGATTGGCTCTGAGGCGGCTGTTTGGGTCGGTTCTGTCTCTCATCTCTTCCTGTTGTCGAGCTGCCCCCCCCCAGCAGTCATCAGATGCATGTTTTGCAGAAACACGGCTGCTGACCCCGGTGCAGGTCTCTGCGGGTCAGACACGTGTAGGTTTCAGGTCAAAAGCGGCTCGTTGTTTGGGACAGACGAGGTGACAGAGCAGATTAGGAGACAGATGTTTCAACAGCCAAAGGATCTGAGAGGAGGGAGCTATTTTTAGCCTGACGCGCTGTCCTGCTGTGATCTGCTCCAATCAGACATACGGTGAGGAGAGGAGAGGTCTTCTCTGGAAGCTGATTGCTGATGACCATGAACGAATAAAGCCTTCAACTTCCCTGTTTAAGCCTGACTGCCGTGATTTCAGAGGTGTTCAGTTCAATCCAGTTTTAAACTTCATCACTTTCCCCTCCTGAAGTTAGGTTTCCACCCGAAACATGAACCTGACACCAGAAAACCTTTGAGGTTTTCTTTCTTGCGTTGAGATTCAGTTTCATCTCAGTCCGTCTCATCTCAGTTTCATCCCAACTTTCAGAACCATCCTCCTTCCTCATTATCTTCATTTTCAGATGTGCAGATTAGGCAGAATGATATTAAACCATTTAACCAGTGGTGTCAAAATTCCACACATTTGTTACTTAAGCAGAAGTGTAGATACTGCAGTTTAAAAACACTCTGGTAAAAGTTGAAGTATCAAATTTACCTCTTTGCTAAAGTAAAAGTGTTTGCGTTATATGACTCATCCAATTACACTAGTTTTCACTAGATGTGGATGGAGGCAATGATCTGCATTGGATGGAGCACATGACGGGAAATAAATATTTATAAACATAAAACTGAAGCCAAGAGTAACAAGTAACGTTTGTTTTAGAAATGTAAGGAATAGAAAGTACAGATACTTGTGTAAAAATGTAATGAGTTACCAAACTACCAGGTTTAGTTCCCTATATAAACAGGAGAACAATATAAAGATGGAGATAAACATGTGTTAACTTATTCCCCACAAGGACTGAAAAACAGATTCAGCGTATACTGCTGTTTAGTTCAGTCTATAGAGACTCAGACTCGGATGAAATGACCCGTTAACATCTCTGTCCTATCAGCGCCCTTAGCAGAGATCATTTCTGCCTCTCTGATGACGCCATCAATAAAGAAAAAAGTCCTGCAGAGATTTTTGAGCAACATCTGCTTGGAGAGACCATGAAGATCCGGGTTTAGGTTCAGCTGCTGAGCTCTTCTAACTGAACCTTTAGATCTTTGACAGAGATACTGATTAGCAGAGGCTCCTGTCAGGTGGTGTTGTTTTAATCTTCCCAATCATGTTTAATTTCCCAGCATGCATTTCCTCTCCTGAAGGCTCCCACTGTGACAGTGTTGAGCAAATGAAGGTGATCCCTTCAGCTGCGTCCTCTGAACTGATTGTGTTTGATTGGATTTATGTCCAGGACGGAATTAGAGACATCCGAGCTGATAACCAGGAGACGTCTCGTCCTCTTCCTCTCTATCACCGTCCATCCATCTCTGTCCTTTCTCATTTCACCCTCCATCTCACACACACACACTCTCACTCACGTACAGAGCAATCACTCAGCTAGCACTCAGCCTCCAGCTTTGTACTGCTTCAAGTAAAAACGTTTTAACAGTTTTTATTTCCTGCCTTCACTTTCAATTTAATTTTGTCCGAATACTTTAACATTTTCAAAGGAGGTGGCTGATATTTGTTTGAACTAAACTACAAAACTGGTTGTGGGAGCTGCACATAATTCTTTGTGAGTAGTACTGGTTGTAGTAGTACTACTGGTAAACCAAACCCAGGAGGACGTCATGCAACAGGCCTTCAACCCCAGTTCTCAATACCCACCGTCCTGCAAAAATTAGTGTCTCTGCTTCAGGACAGTTGAGTTAAATTGTTTTACTCCCTATAGCGCCTTTATCCAAGTCAGGAGACGTGACCAAAGCGCTTTACACTGCATTCATTCACCCATTCAGGCACACACTCACACGCTGATGGTGGCAAGCTACATTGTAGCCACAGCTGGCCTGGGGCTCACTGACAGAAGCAGGGCTGCCGTACACTGGCGCCACCGGGCCCTCTGACCACCATCAGTAGGCAATGCAGGTGAAGTGTCTTGCCCAAGGACACAACGACAATGAAAGTCGGAGTCCATCAATCCTTCGATTTCAGGGCAAACTCCTACATCCAACGCCACTGTCGCCCTATCGTATAGGTAGGAGATGACCTATGCTGGATATGCGCATGCTGGACAGTCGGCTCTAACTGCTGGACTGTTAAAAAAAAAAAAAAAATCTGTAAATAATGTCACGCACTGCATCACACTGATGACATCAAACCAAAAACCCTGCATAATTGCATCATATATATTACAGCTCTGAACTTCCCTATCAATGCGTTTTATTTGCGCAATGTTTTTTCTCATGTGAGCGTGCTCACCTGATTCCCGTCTTCTGTGGGCAGAGATGTCGCTGTTGCTGTGGTGAAGCCCCTGGCTGCAGGCCTTGGAAACCCCGGCACCCACAGCCTTCTGCGTACTGACCGACAGGTAAACTCTTATGTGTACCTGAACGGTGGGAGGGGCTTAGCAGGTCTGCATCTGAGCTCAAACCAGCTGATCATTCCCACTGATCAGTTCTGATTCAACTTTAACGAAAGTAGCGCCATCATCCAATCATTGTAAACATCAACACAGAGTCTGACGATGTCTCTGTCCAGTGGCAGAGTGAGACCATAACACAGGACCTCCATGGTCAATTTCACCTGAAGACAAACAAGAAGAGACATCTCCAAACCACCTGGCAGATAAAGATCAGACCTGATTGATCACCGACCAGCGATAGTCTGATGATCTCTGATTTATTTCAGGTGAGACCAGCCTTATAAGGTTTGTAAACATAAAAAGGAAAAACTGAAGATCCACTCTATTATATTTCACTAGAAATTTTTATTATTCGTTATTGGCTGCCGCTCTGTTTACATTTGATCACTGCTGCACTTTATGGAATGGAAATGTTCATTTACTGTCTGAAAAGCTGTACACTCTGTGTGTACAAAATGACATTAAAAGTTGTCTAAGTTCTAAGGACCAGGGTTGAGACCTCTGTAGTATATATTTAAATGTTAACAATAAAAAGCATGAAATAAGTATTATTAAAAATAATTGAATGCTTGAGATTACCACTAAAGGCAGCGAAGGATTCCTAAAACTGTCCAGCTCTTTTTTTTTTTTTTTTGTTCTTCTTCGGTCATTTTTTTTTTTTCTTCTTCTTCGGTCAGAATCTGTGGTTTGCTGCATAATCTTCATGGTTGGAGGTGGAGGACCTGCTCCAGTCTGGATCTCCATCTCTGTCATCTCTGCTTCAGAAAATAGCTTTTAAAGTTGAATTAGCTCAAAGGAGGCAGATTGAATCCTCCATAATCTTCATTGTTGGGCTGCTGCTTTGCAGGCATGATGTTTGCATTGAGCACGATCACAGCGCATCAATGCATCGATATTGTTCATTTGCTGCTGTTCACTTCACATTAGGGCTGCAACTAATGATTATTTTCCAAATGAATTGATCTGTCAATTATTTTTTTGATAAATCGATTAATAATCGTATCGCCAAAGGTTCTCTTAACAAGTTTTCTTAAGAGAAACAAAAACTTTTCCCCTTGATGAGTTTTGGATAGAGCATATTGACAGACAAAAACATTTTTTTTATCTTAAATGCAAAATGTTTACATAATTTTTTTACAATTTTTGTATGATTACTCCTCTTAGTGGGTCGCTCCATCAGCTAAAGACATGTTACAGTCTCTATGCTCGAGTTAACGATTAATCGATTACTGAATTAGTTGACGATTATTTAAATAATTGATTAATCTAATTAATTGTTTCTGCCCTACTCGACATATTACATATTAGTCACCGGGTCACCGGTGACTAATATCCACCTGCCTGTTGTCTGTTTAACTCAACATGGCAGACCTGGATTTTCCGAGCGAGTCACAGTGCTGTGTTTAATGTGGAAAGCTAAAACAATGGATCAGGAGAGAAGTTAAAGCTTTAACTGGTTTTCTGTTCAGGTCGGAGCTGCTGGGCTGAAAACTGATAATGGGAGGAGATCAGAGTCATCAGAAGGAGGCTGAGGAGAGAAGAGGAGAAGCTGAAGAACATCAAGAACCAGACCAAACAAAGGCTCCAGCTGCTGAAGGTACCAGCAAATACATTTATCGAGATTATTTCTGATTATAAATGACTTCTGTGAACTTTATTCAGCAGAGATATATCAGTTCATCAGAAATAATCTCAATATGTTTCTGCATGTTGCTACCGCAGAATAATAAACAAGCTTCTCTTCCTCAGAGACTCCGGTTGAGTTGCCCCAGTGCAGAATGGGAAGCAGAAAGGTGGACGACATGTGTTTCATGATCTCATGCACCAACTGGTATTGATCCACTGGACACTGGGACTGCTGGGAGCTGGTGGATGCCGTGTTCATGCTTTTCATGCATCAAATTGGCTGCATTGCTCCTCCTCTGTTGTAGTTTTAACTGATTATTTCTCATCAAAATCAGATAAATGTTACAGAAATCTAACAACAGGAAGTAAATCTGTCATTTCTCAGTATCATTCTGTATCAAAAAGCCAAGAAGCTGCTGTAGGCTGAAGACAGGGACTGAACATGAGTCCAACCTGTCAGAAAAATGTTTGCTGTTGGTTTGCAGTGGAGAGCGGCTGCTTGGAAGTAGATTTATGGACTTTTCTCCTCCTAAAAACCCTCATTATCAAAGTGGAACTAAAATCCATCATAGATTGATTTCTCCACCTTCGCACTTCACTGCACACCTCTTCTCCTGCAAACTCAGGCGGAAAGAAGAATGATACATTTGCAACAAAGCTCTGATGACTGAAGGTTTTGAGACTTCTGACATGAAACATTCCTGGTTTGGCAACATCGTTTTTTTTTTCCTCTGAAGGCTTCAGTTTCTCTACAGCTTCAACAGAAATGATGAACTGATCAATGGAAGGTGATTGAACTGTATGAGCAGATTTATGAGAGTAATTGTTGCAGAATAAGATGAAAACTAAAAGATAATAAATCATTTCTGAGTTTTTGGGGATCAGCTCAGATTTTTGTCTGTCATCTACTGTTGGAGAATGTTTGAAAATAAGCAGCAGCATGGAGACCAAGGAGCCCAGCAGACAGAGGAAGTTCTGGTTCAGTATAAAGCAGAGTTTGATTCTAGAACAATATTGCAATATTTTTCAGACTCTCTTTAATGCATCCTTCTAACATAGAGAAAGGATGGACACCCACCTTATCTGACAGCAGAACGTTAAACAGGGAAACAATTGGAGAAGCTCCAGAGAATATGTAGACAGGAAAAATATGAGTCAGTATTTTCTCTAGTCCTGTAGGTGACATAGCAAATGAGGAATAAGGTGTCTGATCATCGGAGACCAGTACAGAACCTTTGGGTCTCATGGAGTTAACTCTGCAGATCGCTCGGAACACGCCATCCCTATGGTGAAGCACGGTAGTGGCAGCATCATGCCAAGGGATGCTTTTCTTAATTAGAGGCTGAGGAGCTTGAGTTAACAGCAGGACAGTCTGGGAGGAAAAGCTTTCAGGTTCAGGTTCTCCTTCCAGTCGGACAGAGGTCTGCAGCCTGGCAAGTGGCTCTTTGGACCCTCTGCTGTGGCTCTTTATGGTGGTTAGAAATAATTAAAAACTAACCAATGATTTAGAATAAAGTATAAAAAAAATAAACAGTTTTAAAAGCTTCGTTTTTTTTCTCGAATATTTTAACTGAAATTTCACAACAGAAATTAATTTTTTTAAAATAAATGTATTCTTGTCAACAGCTTGAAAAATATGTTGTTTTTTAAACTGAATTTTCCACAAATAATATTCAATAGAAGAAAATCCACAGTTCGATTTTAACACTTTCATGATTTTTTTTTCTTACTTTAAAATTAAAAATATAAATAACCTGTAGATCCTTTAAAATGGCAACAGATTTGTGTTTCATTAAAAGGCAATCATGCTCTTAATGATGTTTATTTAGATGGATGTAAAAGAGATCTTTGGATTTCAAAGGCTGCAGACCCCAGCAGCAGGACAACCACCATGGATGTTTTAGATCAGAGCAGTATAATAAACTACAATGGCCTAGTCAAAGTCAAGATTTAAATCCAATGCAATCTGAGATACACTGCAAAAAATCTAAATCTAGATAAGTCATGTTTTTCTTAAAATAATTGCATTTATTCTTGAATTGAGGAGGTAAAAAAGACATTCTGCCAATGGAAGAAGACAATTTACACTTAAAATAAGAAAACACTATTGCATTGTCTTATTTCAAGTACATATTATCTAATTATCTTATTTTAAGAGTAAAATTGCTCATTCCATTGGCAAACTTTCTCATTTACCTACTCAAATTAAGGGGGAATACACTTAATTAAGGACATTTTTACTTATTTCTAGATTGTTTTTGCAGTGTAAGACTTAAAAACTGCTGAAGTCGAATATTCCTGTCTGTAGATCAAACCTGGTGGAAACAAACCCAAGAAGACTGAGGGGCTAAAAGCAGATGTACACCACACTTTTCAGATTTAAGTCTGTAAAATATGTTAAAACTATTAAACATTTGTAACTTTTGTCTGTGTTGGGTCTAACTCATCAAAATGAGGTTAAATTCACTAAATGTTTAAAACGTCAGCCACAGGATTACCTGCTTTTATGCACATCTATGTTAGAATCTGGGTTTAGGGTTGGAAAAAGTCCAGTCTCAAATTGGATGTTAATTATTAAAATTACAGTTTGGACTTTTCTCCCTGCTGCCCTCTGGGAAAAGACTTTGCTGCATTCAATGCAGGTCCAGCAGATTCTGCGGGGGAGAAGAGTGACGAAGAGCTGAACTATTGAGAAAACTCTAAATAATATCACAGGCTCTGCATCACACTGAGAACACCAAACCAAAATACTGCATAATTGCACCACATATACAGTATTAAAGCTCTGCTCTTCCATATCAGTTCTATTTTTGCACCATTTTTTCTCCCACACTGTTTACATTTGATCACTACTGCACTTTAATAAATGGAAATGTCATGAGAGCTGTACAAAGCAAAATTTCGTTTTGTATACATTCTGTGTATGCAAAATGACAATAAAAGTTGTCTAAGTCTAAATATGATACATCAGCCAATAGGAAGCATCATGGATGGTGAACAACTGGACAGGAAATCATAGTTAATCTGAAAAAGCACCAATGGGACGATTAACAAACCAGCAGCAGGAGGTGAAACAATGAAAAAAGAGTGATTTAGACAAATCTGAAAGTTCCTCTTCTTTTGATCAGCAGGTAAGAGACCTGAAAAAAGGTCCTTGGTCTTCATCTGGATTAAAAGTAATGACTGAAACGCTTTAATTATCTTCCTCTCATTACAATCAAGGTGTAGCTGTGTAATTATCCCTCAGCGGAGGCTGATCGTTTCCCCTAATTAGCAAAACCTCATCCAGTCTGGATCAGGATGCCCTCTATGTTCCACTCACACCTCGCTGCAGATTGATCTGCTGATACAGAAAAGATGATCCTGCTTGAAGGAGTAACGCCTCTGAATCTTCAGGTCTTCATGCAAACCTGAACATCCGTCCAGAACCAGAGAACCAGCACTGGGCCGGCTGGCGCTGCCGGGACATGTCGGGAAATCCCTACTCATGCCGTTTAAGATCGTCTGCGGATGAGTCGCCATGGAGACCATATGAATTATTCATGACGCCATCACTGCTGACCTTTAAAGGCTCAGTTATGTTTTACTTTTCCTCTTTATCTACAGCTGAGTGGCTCTGACCTGTAAGGCTCGTAGAAAATTTATGTTCTTCAGGATTTTAAATCTGTGCCATTATAAAGCAAACCAATAAGCAGACAGAGTTCTGGTTCTGAGTTTATAATACAGGCATTTGGGTTTAAAATGAAACAAAATTAGAGGAAAGAAACAACATTAGAGGAAACACTCATTAAGTCAGAATGATGTTGGACCTCTGATTAACTATAAACACGGAGGAGGTCCTATCATGCTGTGGGAGCTATTGGATTCCTGAATGTGTGAAAGGTTGGAATTAGAGTTAAATGCAGCCACCCAGTGTCACAGGAAGCAAGAAAAAACTCATTCTTGGAGATAAAGTCTTCACTTTTATTGACATTTCTTAGAACATGGTGTTTTAGGATAGAACCGGTGCCGGACAATCAAACAAACCCAAAGAGAGAAAAACAGTTTTCATTACAAAGCATAAAATGCTTTAAAATAAACCTGGAATATAAACCGGAGCTGAGCCCGTTCTTAACGAGAGCCAATCAAAAAATCAGCTGGCATCTCTCATTAAAGCAACAATGTGGTACTTTGTCTTTCAAAATAAACAGATTTATTTTTTGGTTCATTTTTATTTTATAATGAACCCATTTATTCAAAACAAAAATCTGACATTATTTACAGAAAAATCTGTTTCATAAGAAAATCCAACACAATCAGTTAAAGCTTTCTGATGAGTCAGCAGTTTTCAATAAAAAAAAGTCTGCCCAGAGCATTTGTTCTTCTTCTACATCTTCACAAGAAAACTAGAGGCAACAACAGGCAGTTAAAGAAAAACTCAAACAAGAATCTGCTCTCTGGGTTCTGAGGTTCTGCTCAGCAGATTAATGATAATCCTGCAGGAAAACACAGTTTGGAGACCGTCCATCTACTTATTCATCAATAGAGGAACCTGTTCTTTTTTTTTTTTTTATTACTTCTTTTACATTAAAAGGATTTTCTTTAAATCTTGCATAACTGTTTTATCTTTAGATCTGTTTTTGCTTCTTTAAAAAAAGTCATATCATTTGTGAAAATTCTTATGTTTTTATTAATTTCCTAGGATAAAAAAAAAAACAGTGCTTAATTTTTCATTAAGTCAGCTTAAATAGAAATAATCTTATTGTTTTAGAGATAAAATAGGAATTTAATCCACATTTAATAAAGAAAACTATGATGTATTACTTTAGAGTTACAGATTTTAAATTATCTGATATATATTCTGGTTTATGATAAAATTTGCTAAATTACATAATTGCAATTAGAATAATTTTTTTAAAACCATATCATATATTAACATGTTTAAAAATAATTAAAACAAATGAAATCTTTAAATTCGTGCATTTATCAGTAGTTTGTTTCTGCTTTTAATTGGCTGAATGTTTAATTTACATTTTCAAGTTTCTAATTCTTATTCAGTCGGCCCTTAAATTGGATGTATAAAAAACGCTTGACTTGCTGAGAGTTTAATTTAAAATATACTCAGTGGGCCATGAGAACGAGTCAATAAGCTGTAAACAATTGAATTAAATCACACAAACATCTTTGCTGCCTTTGTGTTTAAAACTATGGATCCTCTGCTTCGTCTTAGTTCGTATTTTATCTTTTTTGCAGCTTTTTGTTTTCATAATTTTGTTTTCTGTCAGAGAGTCATCGAACAACCAAACAGCATTAAGCTTTGCCACATCGAAACTTCCTCTCTGTCTCTTTGCTTTATGGATTCATCCCTAATAAAGATTTGTGATGCTGACTGCAGGCTGGACCACATGAACCGTCAAACTTCTAGAAAAATGATGAGCTTTCAGCTGATTGTTGGTGCGTTCATCTATCTGCTTCCAGCTCTGTGAGCTGAACTTCCTGCACAGCATCACTTAGTGACTGAGGGGTAATCATCAGCTCCAAGACGACTCATGTGCTCTGAGCTCTCCATAAAATGACCCAGAACAGAAAGAACCCAAACTCTGCTGACCTGAAGTCATGTGTTAAACTGTCCGGCACCGTTTTGTTCAAAGTAAAAGAAGTTTGAGGACAAACAACAAACAGCAGATATATGAATCCAACCCATGAAGGAGACAGAACTCCACAGGACCTTCTGCCCTCTGGGGTAAAAAACGGAATAAGTCGTTTACGTCTAAATAAAAAGATCCCATCTACATATATTCTCTCTAGTCTAGAAGCAGGAATATGAACAATGCCATCACTACAGCATGTTTTCTTCAAGTATTTTTCTTTCTTTTCCACAAACAGACATTTGCTGAAATACAGTAAACTGCAGTTCTGTGAATCTCAGTAAATATGTACAAACTCCAGACTTTTCTGCCATAAGGTAAAAACATGGATCCGGTTGCGTTTCTACAGACGGATATTGTTTTTTCAGCTCAGCTTGACGCTTGGGGCTCTAAACGTCACTAAGAGGGCTAAAAAAGTCTATATCTGAGATAACAGAGGATTCATGATGAAGATCCCTCCGTACTGAGAGAATAACAGATTAAGACTTAGTCAGGACCAGAGCCTGAGCTTAAACAAGCTTTAAAGCGGAGCTAAAGAAGCTGAGGTAAAAATGTCCCTGCAGAGGTTGAACCAAGCCTTCATTCAGACACAAATCGACACCAACATGTCCGAAAACAATGTTTTCCTCTATCTGGTCCTTGATGTTGGTAAAACGTAAGCATTGAGTCTAAACTAGAAGCAGGATTGATTTCTGGCCTGACCATCATCTTCCTCTCAGTTCTACTGCTTTCTTTAAATCTTCAAGCAGTTTTCTCTCTTATAAA